GTTGTTGAAAATTAAAACATTTGACAAAAAAGTAACAAATCTTTGATTGTTTACGTCAGCAAAATCCGAAAAAGATAGTAAACATTACTATCGCACAGCAAACATTTTTTTCCGTAGTAGGCCTGAATGATTAATTTTCGCAGGTAATAAACATGTAACGAAAACAGGTCGTTTCACAGTAGTGTAGCGAAAAGTTGTTCTGTAACGATGGGCTGATTAACAACCCTCTTTGTTGGACATTTTAAAATTGTACAAGACAGAATAATATTTTACGTTAATATAAAATGTATAGACGAAACTTTTGATGATTAACGGAATGGTAACTTCGTGTAAATTAATTTTCAAGAAGAAGTGAGCGAGCTGGTCTAGTGGCTAGAGCGTGGGAGTCAGTCCCTGTGGTCTTGCGTTCAAATCTCCCATATCACCAATGGATTTTATCAAAGTGATATTTCCGCAACCCCTAGGTCTAGCATGAATTAATGTGAAAAACGATCCCGGGCTCGTGCATAGCGTCCTAGGACAAAAATACACAAGTGGGTTGATAACATGACGTCGAAGATAATCATGACCATGCATAAATCGGTGTGTTTGTTCACACTACATTTATTTTATCGTGCAATCATTATAATACTTACTTTAGTATGGTTCCTATCGATTGCATTGCTGTGTAGTCACAAAACAATCATGTAAGCTTGTGGTAATTGCAATTGAAGGCTTGTGAAAGCAATAAGAGATTATTGATTTAACACATATAACATAATACTGGTATCTAGTGCGTTATCAACTTTATTCATGACATACTAATAAGCTACAAAAATCATCCCAAACAACATATTAAAAACATGCATTATACTTAAATTCACTAATATGAACGATAGATAAGTTACAATGTTATAATTAATTGTAAACAATTTAAAACAGTCGAAAACGTGATCTCTTTAGCCTATTTTGATGTCATACAGAGTTACTGTATTTAATTATATAAATCTGGGACGCAATATCCATTTTAATTAGAAATGTGGTTAAGTTTAATTATATATTTAAATAATTATGCAAATATTTATTTGAATGTGGTCGGATGAAATACTGATGAAGTATACTTTCTTATAATGTACTATACTCGTCCGAGAACGCTAATCATGATGATGAAAGGCCCCATGTATTATTTATAATAATGTACGGCAATAAAAGAATGGATTCTGGCCTGGATTTCTAATCCAGGCCAAGAGAACAAGAGAGGAGAACATAGTATACGTTTTACATAGTTACGTTTTAAAATGATGAATTTGAATATTTGTTATCAACGACTTATCGTTGAGAAAATACATTCGGTTTTGTGTATTGTGTATGTAATTGGCAAAAACTTTCCCATAGTCTATTCTAAAGTTGCATTTTCAATAAAACTCTATAGCTTAGAACTATAACAACTAAGTGTTGTTTAAATTTGTAATCTGTTATTGAATGATTAACCACCAAACAATTTATACAAATTCTACTTTAACAAAACCGATCTACAATACCTCGATTTTCCACTGAGATGATATAATGATTAAAGGGAACGTCTGTCTGTAGATTGTAAACAAACACATTAACTGGTGCTTTATATATCGCTACCAGTTACATGTAACGTTTACCTTTAATGAACGATTATTCTTTTGCTTGAAAAATCTACTTCTATGCCAAATAAATGTTTATATGTTTGATTTTTTTCTATGCTAACTTTTATAATTTAAGTACTTATTAAAGTAGCTAGTGTTCTTAGTTTTATTGAAGATCGCGTTTAAACATTTTCTTTCCAATCTTCAATTTTTAAAGCCCGAACATCAGAAATAATATAGAGTCAAAATCACTTGAATAATTTAAGTTATGCCATACCTTTTCAGATATTAAATCCTACCTAGGTTCTTATAAAAACTGAGTTTATATTATCGTGCTTCAGTTTCTTTCCAAATACCAAATTGAATTCAATATAAAATCTACTGATGTACGTTCAAAAGCTTGAAAAAAGATCATTTATGTTAAATAATCAATAAAGTGCATAATCCATGTAGATGATTCTTTTTTCGTTACGTATTCAGAATGTCAATGATTTTGTTTACTTACAGAGTAATGATTTTTTTTCTTATTTCTCTGTGCTGTATTTCCTGAAGATTTTCTAGTTTTAATTCAATAATACTTCTTCCGTGGCAATTAACTAGACATTTTAAATTTAATATCCAAATTGGTAGCCTTTAAAATTTTTCCATAAAAATATGGTTAGCATGAACTGATTAAAGAAAATTAGGTCATTAAAAAAGTAATTAATACCTGTTCCACTTCAAGTAACTTTATTCATGTATTGCAGCTACTGTAGTAGTTAATTTTCAAACGCAGAACAGTTCAAGTGCATTATCCTTTGACCTTTCTCGCGAAACTAACTTTGCAATCACCAGTTAGTCGCTTCACCCCCCTGAAGTGGCTGAAATAATCTAATTATAGGCCTGAAATCAGTGAGGAGGGTGAACTCAAGTCTTTACAATGAATTAAAGCTCGAAAACCACCTACAAACGATTATAATATTACTCTTTTTGCACAAGTTATAATAGCATTTTGGTATTTTACTTTAAATACATTCAAACAGACTATGTAATGCTTTTAAATACTTTTATACTTGAAACTAACAAATATTCTTCGATTATTATAACACCTTAGAACGAACTTCTTGTAAGAATCAACAGCCATAGATAAAACATACTCCCATGAGCTCAACAATTAATTTCAATAACGAACTTCTTGGAACGTTGCGAATTTTAAAAACTAAGTACTAAATTGTTTTCCGAATACTAACTGCCCCCAGCGAGCACAAGGCGAGTTCCCAATTAAAACTGTAAACGTTAACTTGGATAATTTTAAATATGTATCAGAGAAGAATTCATTAACTTTGGATAAGTAATTCAATAGGCGTATTGAAATGTTACATAAACATTTTCGAAATATTTTAAGTCCACCAACAATATTCAAAGGCCAAGCTTTGGGTTTGTTATTTTTCTCGGCCTTAGGTCCAAGTCCATTACTCTTCTTGACTCACACACCGCCATGAATCTCAAAATCTACAAAAGAAACACTTTACCTCCAAAATGATGTGTCTCGTTTTTCACATTTATCTTGAAGAGAACGTTTCATGTAACGTTTCGTTAAGACTATTATTACGGCTTGTAGTTGTAATACTTCGGTATGTAATATGTAAACATAAGAGAAAACGTAACATGTCATCAGCATGTAAACATTTTCATAGAAATTTATCATTGAACGTTGAAAACAAGTACATGGAAACCAACTGAACAGTCTTATTGGCTGTGTTTTTGTAAAGGTCATGCTGAGTATTTACGGTTAACTAATTCTTCTCTGTGTCTTTGGATCTTTGTGATTTTTTGCAAATTCGATAAGAATTGGTTGCTTAATAATTCTTACATTTACAGGTATACTTAATTTTCACTTTCATATACTATTTGGCATTATTGAGGGCTCTATGAGCTGCAACCTAAATAAAATTCATGGTTTTGTCAAACACTGAATCTTAAAAAAAATATAAACTATTCATCCGTCGAGTCACACTGCTAGAAGTGTCATGGTGTCAAGACAAAATGCTACAGGGAGTTGATATCGAGCGATTGGAGATTTATCTGTGAGATTTTCTGTCCTGAATTGTCCTAGTCGTGACATAGTTGGGCTTTATTGGAATATTTAGAGTTTTTAATATTGTATGGAAATGTTAAATGAGGTAGAATAATGATTTTCTTTTTCTCCTCGAAATTAAGGAGTTTAATTAAATAGCAGTATTGTAGTATAAGAATTATATTCTTGGGTTTCGATAAATGAAAGGTTTCTACATTATATTTTACATAAATGCGAATATGATTTGATCGTAGAGAATATTAAGTAGGGTGTTCATTATTAACATCTAGAACTAACCTCAAACTTAAAAAATCGAAATAAAACAGTCGCGCAGTAGTCAAATAGTCGTGATTGTGAATATTGTTCATTAAATGCTACATTTATCCATTACTCTTAATTACCAAACAGTTATCTTTTGTGACCTCACTGTTTACATACATGCATGATGTAGTGGTAATAAAGCTTCGAAAGTAACTGTTCAACAACGATAGGTTTTGCAGGTAACCTAACAGATTTAGTAGATCTGATACAAATAGCAGATACTGAAGCTTTAATTGTACGTAATTACTGTTCTAACCATAGTTAACTTATTTTGTATTTATTAATATTATTTAAAATTGACCATTTATTACTTAGATGCCTTTAATTAAGCAGATTTAAACATTCTTCGATATATGTTTAGGAGTGTATTTACAATTCAGATATGCCACATCCATAAACTTTAGGACAACATAAAACGTTGTTAGTTTTACTTTTAACAATCAGGAAACTGATCCATCAGGCACAATCGTATCTTGCAGAGTAGTTTAAACATTTTTCAAACTATTATCTTAGGAGCTTTTGAGAAAATTATTTTTCCTTTGACACAATAAACCCGATTCTTCTATGCTAAAATATAGAACTGATCTTCCTGTTGTAATTGATCCCAAAATACCTTGTTTAAAGTCCCCCCATTTTGAGTACCTTAACGTAGACATCGAAACGATTAAAATGTACTGCAACATTTTCTCTCAACGTTAAACTGAAGGAAATGGGGTCCATACAATGCACTGTGTCAACGGAATCTTCCCCAAATCTCATCACACTAGACTGATATTTTACACAAAGCCTGCGGGAACTCCAGTAAGCCAACTTATCCATTTGACAGTTTAAGTCTGTGGCACATGTCTTATTCAGATAAGTGGCTGAGGCGATTACAAGAATTAGAATCAATTAATACTCTAGGGGGTGGGGAAGTTCTGTAGGGTGCTGTTGGAGGGGAGTTTAGTTGAAGCCTGGGGGTGGTCTTCTCCCCTATCGCCGCTCAGTGAGCGCTCGGCTTCAACCCCTAACTGATCATAGGGTGCTTCATCGTCCGTAACTAACTTTACGCGCCGCGAGCGGAAATTATCATTTCGGTCCCAGCTGGCTTGGAAACGTTTGATTTCCTCTAAACAGCTGTTTCGTTGCGTTTTTCGATGTGACTGTGGATATGGAGACTTCGCTTGTGTTTTTGGCGGGTCTTCACTTGGTGTTTTTGTTGATGACAGGTATGAATTGTACAGTATTTTTAACCGATTGTTTAGTGAATGTATACAGTGAAGTCGTAAGAGTATTGCCAATTATTGTGCCGTATAGTACTACCTCTGATAGAATTAATCTACTCTAGGGAATGGCATCAGGTTTTGTTTATGTTCACTTTAAAAGTGAGCAAATACTACGAACAAAAGACCGGCTCAATGAATTGGGAATTTGTGACACATAGTCTAATCATTGTAACCCAATATACCCACTTCCGAAAACATATTTTTTAATAGTCCAGGGTCAGGTTCCTGGTTAAAAGAATTGTTCTTAAATAAAATAGTACCATAGTTTCGCTTGATATCCAAAAATGACTCTGCTACTCACAAGGATTATGAAGGCTCTCGTAAAATTGCAGGTAGAATTATATTGTATGACTATAATATTGGATCAAACACAGCCAACATGTCGTTGTTATAGTTTTGGCATAATAACTATTATTTTAATAAAAATTATCATTTACATTGTCTAAAGAATCGTCATTAGTTTGTACCGAAAAGGATTTTGTTTATACAAATTTAACAATAATGAACTAGGTTGATTTTTTGTTTGAATATAAAATGCCTTTGATAAGGAATTGATAAAACGAGCTAATTTAAATAGTTCTATAACCCTATTAAGTTACTCAAAGTTATGAGAGAGACTATTACAATTACAGTGTAACTATAAGATGTAGTGAGCTCCATTGGCACACGAGCTTAGAAAAAGATTTAGTTGTAGTTTACCTAAAACTTATAAATTATAACCATAAATATGGTATTTAAAGATATAATGATTCTAAGGTCAACCGCTAACGATGTTTTAATAATGCACAAGTCTTACTTTACGTAAAAAATCACTCATGCACAATTATTTTTTGTTTATGATCATGTATTTATGAAAACACGAAATTAATTCAATACTTTAATGTAAGGTTTAAAAGGTCCTTATTATCGAGACAAGTTTTGGGTCAATCAATTAATACGGAAATTAAACTCGTATTTATTTTAAGTTTATTGTCAGAGTAGTTTATTATTTACCATGCAGGTAGAGTTAAAAAGTAATATCGAAAAATCTTTTTACCTTTGATTTACTATTATAGCAATTAAATTATTATAATCTTAAAATAATTCTATTATAGTACAGGGTGGGGCAATGAAAGCGCCCCAATTTATAAGCAGTACAAACTCAATAATATTCACCCTATGGATATAAATAGCTCATCAAAACACAGCTTATCTTTTGCCATTTTAACTTAACAAAGTCATTTTTCCATTTCTTGAGAACGAAATCCTGCAAGTGACGTCCTTGTCCTACTTGACATTAGGCACTTGAAAACTCCATCAAATACACCTCTAGCATTTCTTCAGGAATCACTTTAGTTTTTGGACAATTCTTAGCTTCTGTTCAAGCAAATCTGTGGGGTGACTTTGAAAAACTTCGAACTTCAAGTAGCTTATTAGAAACCTCCCCCCCCCTTCCAAAAAGGAGCCAACGTAAAGCTTTCAACAACAACAGCTCCTGGCAAATCTCTTTGGACTTTGAGTTACTGCGAATTTGCTGGTGTACAAAGAGTTTTGCGGCACCCACCGATTATTTTTAAGGTTTAAGCGTTTATCCTAAATAATTTTCCCAGTTCACCATTGTTTTCCAATCTGGAACAGTGCTATGTTGACCAAGGATGGAATGTGGTCCATACAATCCCTGGGGTTTTGCACAAGAACCACTATTTTAAAAATATGTTTGCACATCAAAATTTCAGTGTTAATAGCCTCGGGCATAATATTTACTAAAATGGCATAGTTTAATTGATGTTTTAAGCGCAGCTGATCATTCGTTGTTGCAACAATTAACATGTGACAGCTAAAACAAATTGTGGCGTTCTCATTGCCCCACCCTGTATAATATTATGTAATACTATACCCCAGGTAAATTGCTGTCCTGAGATCGAATCCCGCCACCAATAGAACCTATACCATGTGATTTTCCATGTTCAAGTGGTTCAGATTTCTCTCCCTGAGTTGTAAAATTTGGTCTTCCTATAAAATATAGATTGATAAGTCCCTTTGGCTAATGACTTGCGTTGGTAATCTTCTTAAACAGTAAATCATACGGTAGTTAACTAACTAATACAAATTAGTATGTTTGTAAACGATAAAAAGGTATTACTAAGGACGCGTTGCAGAAAGTCAACAGTCCCGGAAGGTCAAATAATTTATACCTGTGCCTCTAGGTCAAAAACTACAATGTTTGCAGTGTCTGTAGATCAAAAATCCCAGTAAGTCAAATAGTACAGTCCGGGCTAAAAACGTAGTCTATGTTAAAGCAATTGACTTATTGGGAATTTGACCTAATGCAACAGCAGTTTTAATATAACGAAATAAGATAAAATATAAGTTCAGTTTCGCTGAGTCAACAGTGCCGGAAGGTCAAAAGTATAATCTGTTAAAAACAGCGATAGTCCTCTCGACGCATGACTTCAATAATTTCGTGTTTTGGTGTACTTAAAGTTGTGCTAAAATTTTGAAAATTGGCACAGAGCTTCTTGGTTAGTCCTACTCGATGACTATTTTGTTGGAACTTTAAACTATTTACCGATCTAATTAATAAAAATTGATATGTATGGTGAAATAGTTTTAAATCGTGATTTCTAACATGAAAAAGTTAGCATGCGAGATTTTTGTTTGTTTTTGGGTTAGAGAGGTTTTGTCTGTGGCAAAGTTGTAGCCAAAAGTGTGATGCGTAAAATATATTTTTTTGAATTTTTTACAATCAGTGGTTCAATAGATAACTTGGGTTGAAGAGGACGGCAAATTTAGCATTTCGCAACGCATGGAAAGAACTACATCGTACGATGCGACTGCTGAGTGGACTTTTAATTTACAGTTCTAAGGACAAGAAAAAGATGAATATACAGATTACCAGTACATTCATATTATTTATAAAACATCTTTCTGTATTACCAGCTTACATTTTTCACTTATATTAATAAGAATACATCACAAACAAGGTGTTAAAAATAAGCGGAGAGACACTTTACCTAGTAATTCCTTGGGTCAAAATAAACAGAAAATGAACGATAACATTTTTTCCAAAATCGTTTCGCGTTTCGTTAACCAGATATCCGCCATTTTGTATTTTTTACATACAAATATTTATCTTTACACTTTTCCAACCGATGTTTATGAAACTTGGTATGTACGTTAAGGTAGGAGAGACCCATGTTATAAATAAAGATTCATCTCGATTCACCCTAAAATTTCAAAATTTAACACTTAACTACAATATAATATTCTTTACTATACCACAATATTTACGTATCACCATAAATCTTTAATAAAATAAAACGTCCACTTTTTAAAATCCAAAGTAAATCAATTTAATCTTCCTTTTTTGAAAAATATAGTAAAAAAATTAAGCGATGTTAAAATAACGACAGGCGAGTTTCGATCTGGGTGTTTCAGGTTTGAACCTAGGAGGATTTAACATTAATTAACATTAATGTTTAATCCTCCTAGGTTTGAAGTGATTGAGAGGAATACATGAAACCGAAGGGGGGAGGTAGCAACAAGTGCACTGGTACTTACTAGTGTCCAATTACAATTTCAATTGTAATTGGGATATCGGATACGGTAAGAATTAGAGAAAACTTTAAATGGGGGACATTCCTTTATTTCTTGTGGCAGTTAAAAATATGATTTTAGTTTTTTGAAATTCAGCCGCCATTTTCCAAAATGGCGGCCAAATTTGAAATTTATTATGGAACACCCTATATTTTATCATGTTTTCGGATAGAATATGCAATTTAAAAACTTTTTTATAATTGACATTTTTTCGATAAACCGACTCGTTTAGGAGTTATAGCCTATGGAAAAATGACTTCCGGTGTACATTTTACATCATGTAGCTCCTAAACAAGTAAGTTTATAGCAAAAATGGGAAGAGTAAAAAAGTCTTACAATTGCATCCACATTCCAAAAAGACCATAAAATTCATTAAAAATATGAATTATATTATTTTAAAAAATGGCGGCAAACTTGAAAAGTGGAAAACTTTTTATTTTATAGTCTTAAAGGAATGTAGATGCAATTCTAAGACTGATTTACATTTTGCAATTTTGCTCTAAACTTACTCGTTTAGGAGCTACATGATGTAAAATGTAAACCGGAAGTCATTTTTCCATATGCTGTAATCCTAAACGAGTGGGTTTATCAAAAAAATGTCAAAGCTAACAAAGTTTTTAAATTGCATATTCTATCCGAAAACATGATAAAAAACTAAAATCATATTTTAACTGCCACAAAAATTAAAGGTATGTGCCCCATTTAAAGTTTTCTCTAATTCTTACCGTTTCCGATTTCCCAATGGTGGACTCCTTGAGTTGATCACCCTGTATATATGAATTTGAACGGATGGTGTTTTTGGCCTCTAGGGACCTCAAAACGAAAAATTAAATCGGTCCCGCGGGTCCAGGTGTTACCATAAGTACTACGGTAATACCCCCGCCGCAGCAAACCTGCAGACTAAGCGAATTTCCATTTGCCTGATTGGATTTACACTAAAATGTCTCCTTAAAAATATCACATTTATTCCCTATTTAAATAGAATCAGTTTAACATATACTTAGGTTTGCTGCAACAGGGAGGGTAAAAGTGTTTTTTATGTAAAATGTTAATAGTTAGTAAGAAATAAAAACATTTTCTAAATTTGGGCAAAAAATGTTAATAAACAAGCAAACTACAACAGTTTACTTATTCTCCATAAGAATAACATGGGAATTTTAAATTTACAATTTTTTGAAATTTTCTCCGTAACCATTAGGTGCATTATAACGCTTTATATACTAAATTATTTGTTTTTTTAAGCTCTACAAAATAGTTTGGAAAGAAATTGCAAAATTTTATGTTTTTTGAGTCAAAAGTAGGAAAACCCCATTTTTACCCCATAAAACCCCCCAAAAACCCCCGTTCCCATGGTCCGATCATGCTGG